GTTGTATCACGTGGTGGCCACACGGTGGCACTGCAGTTGTATCACGTTGTGGCCACACGGGGGCGCTGGAGTTGTATCACGTGGTGGCAACACGGGGGCGCTGCAGTTGTATCACATAGTGGCCACACGGGGGCGCTACAGTTGTATCACGTGGTGGCCACACGGGGGCGCTGCAGTTGTATCACGTAGTGGCCACACGGTGGCGCTGAAGTTGTATCACGTAGTGGCCACACGGTGGCGCTGAAGTTGTATCACGTGGTGGCCACACGGTGGCGCTGAAGTTGTATCACGTGGTGGCCACACGGTGGCGCTGAAGTTGTATCACGTGGTGGCCACACGGTGGCGCTGAAGTTGTATAACGTGGTGGCCACCACTGGTGGCGCTGAAGTTGTATAACGTGGTGGCCACACGGGGGCGCTGAAGTTGTATCACGTGGTGGCCACACGGGGGCGCTGAAGTTGTATCACGTGGTGGCCACACGGGGGCAATGCAGTTGTATCACGTGGTGGCCACACGGTGGCGCTGAAGTATCACGTGGTGGCCACACGGTGGCGCTGAAGTTGTATCACGTGGTGGCCACACGGGGGCGCTGCAGTTGTATCACGTGGTGGCCACACGGGGGCGCTGCAGTTGTATCACGTGGTGGCCACACGGGGCGCTGCAGTTGTATCACGTGGTGGCCACACGGGGCGCTGCAGTTGTATCACGTGGTGGCCACACGGGGGCGCTGCAGTTGTATCACGTGGTGGCCACACGGGGCGCTGCAGTTGTATCACGTGGTGGCCACACGGTGGCGCTGTAGTATCACGTGGTGGCCACACGGGGCGCTGCAGTTGTATCACGTGGTGGCCACACGGGGCGCTGCAGTTGTATCACGTGGTGGCCACACGGGGGCTGCAGTTGTATCACGTGGTGGCCACACGGTGGCGCTGCAGTTGTATCACGTGGTGGCCACACGGGGGCGCTGCAGTTGTATCACGTGGTGGCCACACGGGGGCGCTGCAGTTGTATCACGTGGTGGCCACACGGGGGCGCTGCAGTTGTATCACGTGGTGGCCACATGGGGCGCTGACAGGTTGTATCACGTGGTGGCCAGACGGTGGCGCTGGAGTTGTATCACGTGGTGGCCACATCTGGGGCAGCTAGGCAGTTGTATCACGTAGGTTGGGCCACACGGGGGCAGCTGCAGTTGTATCACGTGGTGGCCACAACGGGGGCACTGGCGGAGTTGTATCACGTTGGTGGCAACACGGGGGCGCTGCAGTTGTATCACATAGGTGGCCACACGGTGGCGCTGACGTTGGATCACGGTGGTGGCCACACGGGGGCCTGCGGTCAGTGTGTATTCACGTAGGTGGCCACACGGTGGGCAGCTGCAGTTGTATCACGTTAGGTGGCCACAACGGTGGCGCTGGGAAGTTGTAATCACGATGGTGGCAACACGGTGGCAGCTGAAGTTGTATCACGAGGTGGCCACACGGTGGCGCTGACAGTTGTATCAATCACGTGGTTGGCCACACGGGGGCGGCTGAAGTTGTAATAACGTAGGTGGCCCACACGGTGGCGCTGAAGTTGTATAACGTAGGTGGCCACACGGTGGCGCTGAAGTGTATCACGTGGTGGCCACACGGGTGGCGCTGAAGTTGTATCACGTGGTGGCCACACGGGGGCACGCGAGTTGTATCACGTAGGTGGCCATGAAAAAAAAGCACGGTGGCGCTGAAGTTGTAGAATGTGAGTGGCCACACGGGGTGGCGCTGAGTTGGATAAGCGGGGTGGCCACACCGGGGCGCTGAAGTTTGTATCACGTGGTGGCCACACGGGGGCGCTGCAGTTGTATCACGTGGGCCACACGGGGCGCTGCAGTTGTATCACGTGGTGGCCACACGGGGCGCTGCAGTTGTATCACGTGGTGGCCACACGGGGGCTGCAGTTGTATCACGGTGGCCACACGGTGGCGCTAGTTGTATCACGTGTGGCCACACGGTGGCGCTGCAGTGTATCACGTGGTGGCCACACGGGGGCGCTGCAGTTGTATCACGTGGTGGCCACACGGGGCGCTGCAGTTGTATCACGTGGTGGCCACACGGGGCGCTGCAGTTGTATCACTGTGGCCACACGGGGGCGCTGCAGTTGTATCACGTGGTGGCCACACGGGCGCTGCAGTTGTATCACGTGGTGGCCACACGGTGGCGCTGCAGTTGTATCACGTGGTGGCCACACGGGGGCTGCAGTTGTATCACGTTGGCCACACGGGGCGCTGCAGTTGTATCACGTGGTGGCCACACGGTGGCGCTGCAGTTGTATCACGTGTGGCCACACGGGGCGCTGCAGTTGTATCACGTGGTGGCCACACGGGGCGCTGCAGTTGTATCACGTGGTGGCCACACGGGGGCGCTGCAGTTGTATCACGTGGTGGCCACACGGGGCGCTGCAGTTGTATCACGTGTGGCCACACGGCGCTGGTTGTATCACGTGGTGGCCACACGGGGCGCTGCAGTTGTATCACGTGGTGGCCACACGGGGCGCTGCAGTTGTATCACGTGGTGGCCACACGGGGCGCTGCAGTTGTATCACGTGTGGCCACACGGTGGCGCTGCAGTTGTATCACGTGGTGGCCACACGGGCGCTGCAGTTGTATCACGTGGTGGCCACACGGTGGCGCTGCAGTTGTATCACGTGGTGGCCACACGGGGCGCTGCAGTTGTATCACGTGGTGGCCACACGGTGGCGCTGCAGTTGTATCACGTGGTGGCCACACGGGGCGCAGTTGTATCACGTGGTGGCCACACGGGGCGCTGAGTTGTATCACGTGGTGGCCACACGGGGGCGCTGAGTTGTATCACGTGGTGGCCACACGGGGGCTGTTTGTATCACGTGGTGGCCACACGGTGGCGCTGCAGTTGTATCACGTGGTGGCCACACGGTGGCGCTGCAGTTGTATCACGTGGTGGCCACACGGGGCGCTGCAGTTGTATCACGTGGTGGCCACACGGGGCGCTGCAGTTGTATCACGTGGTGGCCACACGGGGCGCTGCAGTTGTATCACGTGGTGGCCACACGGGCGCTGCAGTTGTATCACGTGGTGGCCACACGGGGCGCTGCAGTTGTATCACGTGGTGGCCACACGGGGCGCTGCAGTTGTATCACGTGGTGGCCACACGGTGGCGCTGCAGTTCACGTGGTGGCCACACGGGGCGCTGCAGTTGTATCACGTGGTGGCCACACGGGGCGCTGCAGTTGTATCACGTGGTGGCCACACGGGGCGCTGCAGTTGTATCACGTGGTGGCCACACGGGGCGCTGCAGTTGTATCACGTGTGGCCACACGGGGCGCTGCAGTTGCACGTGGTGGCCACACGGGGGCGCTGCAGTTGTATCACGTGGTGGCCACACGGGGCGCTGCAGTTGTATCACGTGTGGCCACACGGTGGCGCTAGTTGTATCACGTGTGGCCACACGGGGCGCTGCAGTTGTATCACGTGGTGGCCACACGGGGGCGCTGCAGTTGTATCACGTGGTGGCCACACGGGGCGCTGCAGTTGTATCACGTGGTGGCCACACGGGGCGCTGCAGTTGTATCACGTGGTGGCCACACGGGGCGCTGCAGTTGTATCACGTGGTGGCCACACGGGGGCGCTAGTTGTATCACGTGGTGGCCACACGGTGGCGCTGGTTGTATCACGTGGTGGCCACACGGGGGCCTGCAGTTGTATCACGTGGTGGCCACACGGGGGCGCTGCAGTTGTATCACGTGGTGGCCACACGGTGGCGCTGCAGTTGTATCACGTGGTGGCCACACGGGGGCGCTGCAGTTGTATCACGTGGTGGCCACACGGTGGGCTGCAGTTGTATCACGTGGTGGCCACACGGGGCGCTGCAGTTGTATCACGTGGTGGCCACACGGTGGCGCTGCAGTTGTATCACGTGTGGCCACACGGGGCGCTGCAGTTGTATCACGTGGTGGCACACGGGGGCGCTGCAGTTGTATCACTGTGGCCACACGGGGCGCTGCAGTTGTATC